AGCCGGAGCCCGGGCCTTGGGATGGCCATCCCTGCATCCCACTGGGGAGCCAGGCAGCCTGGAAGGGGGGCAGGTCCATGGGGTCTCTGCCCCTGGGGGAGGGGAGGAGGGTTCTGCCCCCAAAGGAGGGGGCGGGGCGGGGCCCTGCCTCTGGCCCCGCTCCAGAGCAGCGCTCTGCTTGCCTGCCCTCCATGGGACGCTCGGCTTTTTCCGGCAGCAAGCTGGGGAAAGAGGGCATTTTTCAGGCATGCCGGTTTCAGCCGGCTGCCCCAGCAGTGTTCCCCGGCCTGCCCCCTGGGAAGACCGCCGACTTCTCCCTGCCCACCGGGCCAATGTGGCTGGTTTCCTCCTCTCGGCCGAGCTGGAGGGAGGCCCTTCCGTGCGGAGCGCAGGCAGGCTGCTCCTGCCGAGTGTGTGGTGGGCTCTTGCCCCCGCTTGGGCTTCGGGGAGCGCACCCCAAGCGAGGGCCTGCTGTGTGAGTGGGGGGTCCGACAGGAAGGAGCGCTGGCCGCCCGCCTGGGTGGGATACGGGGTCCGACTGACATGGTGGCTGTGCTTGGTCTGGGGCACAAGGCCCAAAGCCCCTGCCCCGCGGCCCCTGGCACGACCTTCCCCCCGTGTTGGCAACCGGCTGCTCCACACCGACGGAGCTGCCGGATTTTGCAGCTTCCGCATCAGCCTCAAAGGCAGAGATGTGGCAGAGGCTGGATTTCCGGCAGCATCCCTCCTGCTGGCGGAGCCGTTGCCGGCAGACCTCAGTGTGCCTGGCTGTGGGGTAGCTGTGGGGCCGGTGTCCTGGGAAGCGGCCCTCCCCATTTGCTTCCTCTTCAGCGCGAGATGCTTTTCCCATTGCTTAAAATGGAGAGGAAAAGTGGAATCTTGACAAAATTGGGTCATGCTGATTGCCAGCATCAGCAGCCCTCCCAGTGCTGATTTGGATTATCTGTGTTCCTGGGAATCTGGTTGAAGTGGTGCACCCCCCGGGGGGGGGGCAGGCATCAGCAGTCTCGCAAAAACGTCCTTGGGAGGGAAGACACCTAGGTGGATTGGCCCATCGCCCCCACCATACAGCCACGATTTGGGGGTCCACGGTGTTGAATGATGGTTGTGTGTATGATCTCCCAACGAGGTGGGTGAGGGAGCAGCTTGGAGGGGCTGGAAGGGGGAGAGACTGAGCCCACTTCCCCCAGAATCCAGCATTTCACGGTTGTCACCACAGAATCGGAATCAGAAGTGGAAGACGCGGCGGGGTGAGAATTCTGAGCTGCGATGCCGAGGCCGACTGTTCCCCCGCCAAGGGAGGCAGCTGAGGCCCCATCCGTGAGGGCCTTCACGGAAGGATTGAGCCCCCACCCCTTGGGGAGTGCATGAGCAGGGCCAGCTGGAGCTGGGGGTCAGGCTAGATGGCCAGGGAGACCCTTCTGGCTCGCTTTGTTTCTGAGAGAGGCTGAGAGGCCAGTGGGAGCCCGAGGGGGTGGGTGCAAAATGGCCGCCCGATGTCAGACTGGAAGAGCGGTCTGGCACCCGCTGGCGTTCCCCCTGCCTGCCCCACATGCCTCCTGGGGCAAAGCCAACTGTGTCCGGTTGAGGAGGCAGGGTGGCGATTGAGTGTGGATCGGCCTCATGGCGGGAGCGGGGCCCTCTGGAGTGGCCCGTTTTCTGCCTTTGCCGGTATCTCCGTTCGTGACCTCTGCGGGACTCCCTTGCAGCACAAATCCGGCTGTCATGCTGAGCGTAATACAGGCTCCAGTTAAAAACTTTGCACCTCGGTCTGCTTGGAAGGAGAAAGGGGTGAAGGCACAGGAAGAGCCGCTTCCCCGTCTGGATAGTGTCTTCCTGGCTCATGCTGAGAAACCATTCTGAAAGGAACCTGGGGGTGGAAGCGCGGATTGCCAGGGAACTGGGTGGAGGATCCGGGGCCCTAGCGAGGCTGGATGGGCCACCAGGTGGTTTCCCCTTCGCGTGGGGCAAGCAGCCAAGACCAGCTCAGCGATGGCGGAGCGGCCGTCAAGGGGACGCGGAGAGTGACCAGAGTGCAGGAAGGCCTTGACTCCCTCCAGAGGCTTGTGCTCGGGCACTTCGTGCTGCTGAGAAACTGCGGAAGGGGAGTGGGACTGGCAGCCTTCTGTGCGTCAGCGCTGGCTCGGTGGGGCTCGCCCCCGAGCGACTATGGCTTGGATTGCGCGGCAAAATGCCCCAGGTGCTGTGCAGATTTTCATGCCGGCGCTTGTGTATTCAGACCAGATTCCCGGTGACGAGTTGCTGTCATTCTCAGAGCTGTGAAAGGGTCTTGCGCTGGGAGTTCTCCGGTGTGACAAATCAATTGGCGATTTCACAGGCGCTTATCCCTGGGAGGCAGGGCAGCCTCTTCAGTGCCGCTGCCACCGGCGTGGGACGAGGAAGGCCGGCTTCCTCCCTGCCCCACCAGAGCACCCCACCCCCCGGCACTCTTTCTCTTTGCTCGTCCTGGCACGACCTGCAAGCGCCTGTCTTGAGATGCAGGCAAAACGAGCGGGGGGGGGGGTGGCTGTGAGAGCCGCTTCAGGCCCTGTTTCCCCCACAGCCGCATCTTTTAGTCCAGGGCTGGGCAGGTGGGGGATGGCATGGGGGTTGGCACTCAGCAACAACAGTGCAGCCCCCTCCCCACTGCATTAGAAGGGGGGGTGGGATGTGTCTCTGTGCGAAAAGTCTGGCATGGAGGGGGAGGCTGCTCTGTGCCGCCAGGTTGGCTCTGCCATCAGGCGGCCTCCCGAGCAGCGAGAGCCATCCAGACCGTCCCATCCCGGACCGACCTGCCCAGGAGTACAAGGCGGTGGCCCCGTGGCGAGGCGGCATCGGTCCCCTCGTGCCTGGGCCGCCTCATCTTCTGCCTTTCGCTTTCTCTCGCACAGTTCCCTTCTCCAGACATTGCCGCTTCTCCGCGTGTGTCCAAAGGACAACCACTCCGGTTCCATCACTTTTGCTTCAGGGAAAGATGGCTCCCTTGATTTCTGTGCATGGGGGCGGTCTCCCCCCGCCCCCCGCCAATATTTAGCATACAATATCTGACAGGCTTCAGTAATACATCTCTTCTGACAAACGCTGTTTATTCTGTTCACTTGCTCATGGCCGCATTACTGGCGGGCTGTTTTGTGCTTTTGGAAATGAGTAGGTCCCAAACTGAGCCAGGCCAGCCACTGGGGAGCCTCGAATCTGCATAAATTTGGCACGTGGGCAGATTTCAGGCTCCACGACCTGCGCGAATTCTGGCGCTTAAAAGGAGCATGCAAATCATGGTCTGTTTTGAAAGTGGCGACCTGCGAGTTGCTTGCCTTGAGGCCGCCCAGCAAACACCAGCACGGGGAGGGGCTGGGCTCTGCAGGGCTGCGTGGGGGACACGCTCCGGCAATTCCTTTGGCGTCTCTGGAGCCGGATCCTCGGCCGGGATCCCGGGCGGCACATGGAGGATTGATGGCGCCTTGGCTCTGCCCAAGAGGGACTTCGGTTAGGCAGGAGAGGACGGGGTCTGCTGGAAGCTGGGCCCCGCAAACCCGGGTCTGCCTGTGCCCCATCGGTGGCTGGCCCATAGGTGGGCTCCATGGGCAGCGGGGGGCGGCCCAGTCCTCCGGTGCTCGCTGCCTTGGCCGGCTCGCCAGAGTTTTGCGGCTGGAGGACACGGCTGTTCAGCTCGCAGTGTGCGCTGCCTCGTGCCATCTCCTCGCCACCACACTGAGCAGAGTCTCTGCTGCTCCCTCCAGGGAAGGGGAATTTAGCTGGGCTTTAAGTAGGGCCTGCAACGTCTCTTCGATTTGGGGAATAAAGTATGTGCTGCTCTTGTGATTTACGCCTCGAGGCCCTGTGGTTGGCGAGCCGCGGAGATGCGTCTGAGGGGACTCCCGATGCCTCGCAGCAGCACAGCTCAGATTTGCCCAGAAATGCTGTGTATTTATTGCTTTGTCTGACGAGAGTGCTGACGTCCAGTTATAAATTCTTCTGGCACCCACTAAATAATAGAAGTGCCCCCCCGCTCCCACTTCTGCTGCCAGTCTGTCCCAGGCAGAGAGGGGAGGCCTTGCGTAATGCACCTGAGAGCATGGGGGAGGGAGCAGCTTGCGACAGCCTCCCCCAGGCTGCGCATGCGGCATTCGCTAAGGCTGGGGGGGCCCACGCTGCCCGGGTGCAAGAGCCGACCATCTTTCAGCCAGGGAAAAACCAACTGCCGCTCGAGGGCTTGCTGCATCAGGAGGGGGCCACGTGCGGCCCTGCTGGGCTGTCCGGCTGCCGGTGCCTCCCCCGGAGGGAGGGAGCTTTGTGGGGCCGGGGCGCGAGTGTTCTCTGCTCCTAGCCAGGGCCTCCCCCGGAGTCGCGCCTGCGGCCCCCTGAGGAAGTCAGCTCCGCTTCGTAACAGCTCCCGCTGTCCGTGGGCCAGGGTCTCCTGCTGCGGAGCCGCGATCTGCTTCTCCTTGTCAACGGCCGGACCCCTGCCAGGGCCCATGTGGGGATTAAGTGGGGAGTGTGTGGCTGCCCCCCAGCCTGGCCCTCCGGGGCCCGATGTCCCACGATGTCCCAGGAGCCATTTCGGCCCGCCCGCCCCTCCCCACCCGGAGCAACCAGTGGCCTAGCCTCCCAGCACCCCGCTGCACTGCGGGTACTTGCCGGGCCAAGGTGGGGGCTCTGCTGGGCAGCCCCCCATGTTGGGAAGAGGGTCGCACGGACGGAGGGGCACGGGGGGAGCCGGCAAGGGGGGAGGGAGGGGGCGGGTGGGCTGCCCGTGGCCTACAGCGCGGAAGGGAGGCGAGCAGAGCGCCGAGCATCCTCCGCCACCCGTTTCCTGCGGAGAGGGCAGGTGCCTTGGAGGCCGGGCTGGGGGAGCACCGGGCCCCCCGCCTGGGTGCGCCTGAAGCCCCAGCAAGGGAGGCCTCCGTGTGGACAAGAAGGGCAGCAAGGCCCCTCCGGCCTCTCGGCCCCGATCCAGCACGGGGTTGCACTGCTGATGTGCTGTTCTCCTTTCCCTCCTGCAGGACAAGAACCGGAAGCTCCGCCCCCTCTATGACATCCCCTACATGTTCGAGGCCCGGGAGTTCCTGCGCAAGAAGCTGATCGGCAAGAAGGTAGGTGCCCGCGTGGCGGGTGGGGGGCTCTCTGCGCACGGGGCGGGGCGAGGGGGCACGGACAGCCACGGCTGCGGCGCCGCGTCACCCTTACTGTTGGGGTGGAATCGCTGAGGCCCGAGACACGGCCCAGCTTTTGTGGGATGGGGGCGACCCGCTGGGGCAGGGAGTCGAGGGAAGCCGTTGGCATTTGCCCTCCTGGCCCTGCTGAGGAAGTCCCTGGAAACCCGCCGCTTGTGGGGAGGACTGCTCTTCTGAGCCCCCACTAACAGTTATTTATTCATTTTAAGTTTGCCATTGACCCAAGCCCTGAATGGCTTGAAGGGTAATTGGCGGCACCTTGTGCTGTCTCTGGAAACCTGCTGGCCGCTGGGGCAAAGCCGTCAGCTCAGGGGGTGCGTGGGCTGAGACCAGCGGGCGCCCCTGCTTGCGCTGGCTGCAGCCCCTTGTGGAGTCCTGCCTGGAGCTTCCCGGTATGACTTGCCCCCTGCTCGGGGCAGCGCTGGGGCAGGAGGGGCCCCTCGGCCCGGCCGATCTCTCCCTCGCCGCCCCGGCCCTGTGGCTTGTGCCAGAGGCCGTGGTGGGGGGACGGTGGCTTCAGCCCCGCAGTCCCCGGGCCATGGGCGACCAACGGTTGCGGCTGCTGTGGGGTTCTTGCTGTGGCTTGGGGTGGCGTGTGGTGCTCGGGGCAGCGCCGCGCCTCGTGGCGAGATAGTTTTTCCAGGCGCATGGAGCTGGGAGCAGAGCGGCAGGCAAACCGCTGGGCCGTCGGTTCACTTGCAGTGGCTGCAGAGGCTTCCGCGGGGAAGGGGACGGGAGTGGAGCACGGTCCTCCTGCGCCTCTGAAGCGTCTGGGTGACCTTGGCAGGGTGCTGGCGTGCGGCATGCCGAGCGGCATGCTTGCCGAGCTCTCTGCGGGGGGCGGCCTTGCGAGCGCCACCCCCTTTGATGTTGCGGAACTTGCTTTATACATGCTTCCTTTGTCAGCACCGTGTTTTTCACTTCAGATTAATTTGATGGAGTTAAATGATGAAAAAGTCCTTTACATTAATGATCAAAACTGTCCCTGGAGGTCGGCGCTGCCTTCGGATTGGAAATGACATGCGGAGAGCAGGCTGCTCGCTGTTGCCCTCTCGCTGCTCGCTGCTGGGGCCGCTCGGGGCGCTGCTCGCTTCTGTCGCGGGAGCCGCCGAGGCTGAATCTGGGGAGCGGGTCGGGGACGTTGTCTCCCCCGGCCGGCAGCTGAGAGGCGCACTGTGCTCTGCCTGCCGGGGAGACCTCCCCGGCAGCACCCCGGCATCCTCCGGGCCCGCGACCAACTGAGCACGCGGCTTGCTGACCCTTCCTCGCAAGGGCAGGCCGCGCCACAGCTGGGTCCCGGCGGCCGTGGCTGGCTGTGCGCTGCTTCTTTGAGCGCCCTGGCCGTCGCTTCCTGCGGGGGCCTGGCTCTCCCGGATCTGCGCGCCCCCTTGCAGGAGCAGCGGTGCTGGAGGGTGGGAGAGAGGCCCGCACGGCATAGCCGTGGCTGTGTTTCTGAGGGTCCCGGCTGTGGAGCTCTGTCACCCCCACCCACACAGACCCCAAGGCACTTCCTTTTCTTCAGTGCGGTCTGCCTGATCGCGACCGCCTGCTGTGCCCTGGGAGGAAGCCTGCCCTGGCCCGTGTCCAGGTGGGGCCCAAGCACGTTCTCTCCGTGGCAGCGGCTCTCGGCACGTGCTTTCCCCGCTTCCTGCCTGTGCCTCTCCTTCTCCCTGGGAGCGAGCTCAGGGAAGATGCAGCCTGCACACTGGCGCCTGAGGGCTGCTGCCGGCATCCCCCGGCGCGGGCGCTCCTCCCTCGCTCCGTCTGGCAGAGGCGTCCCTGCGGCAGCGCTCTGTGCCTGTGCGGTGGCTCAGGGCCGGCTGCTGTCGCGGCCTGGCCTGGCCCAGCCTAGCCCAGAGATGGCTGAGGGCAGGGGCCGCATGGGGAGGGCGGTGCTCTCCTCGCAAAGCTGCCCTTGCCGGGCTCTGTCCACGCGGTCCTGCCAGACCGGCCCCTCTGGAACTGCCCCGGGGGCTGGGTGCCCCGGAGGTGCTCCGCAGCGCTGCGGGGCCATGGGGCAAAGGAGTGCCCTCCCGGGGTGGGCACAGAGGGGCTGCAGGGCATCCCGCGATTTGCCCAGCAGGGGTCCTGCCGAGTGCCCGCCCCGGCTCTGGTTCTGGGAGGCTGGCTCGGTGTCCTTCCCTTCTCCAGCTGCCGGGCCTGGGCGGGGGTGCAGCAGGTGGGCAGTCTGCCTGGCAGCGGGTCTTCCCAGCCTGGAAGGAGGTGCCACAGGGGTGGGGTCCGTGAAGGTCCTTCCCCACCTCTAGGGGAGGGTGCTGTGCAGCATGGCAGGCCATCACCTCACAAGGACCTGTATATTTCAGCAGAGAAAAAACCCCAAGCAGGGCCCAACACCAGTCTCCCAAAAAACCCAGGAAGAAAACCAGGGGACAGTGAGAATGACCGGCAATGTCTCTACACCAATGCCCAGAGTATGGGAACCAAGCAACATGAACTTGTTGTGAGCGGAGCCGGCTGGAGCCGGGGGTCAGACTAGATGGCCCGGGAGACCCCTTCTGACTCGCTCTGTTTCTGTGTTTCTAACTTGAGCTCATAGTACACAAGGGCAATTATGATAACTTATAGGAATAACAGAAACTTGGTGGAATGACTCACATGACTGGAACTCTACAACTGATGGATACAACCTTTTCAAGAAAAATAGAAAGGACAAAAAGGGAGGTGGAGTTGCACTGTATATGAGATACATATATCTGCACAGAAATACAAAAAGAATATAGTAGCCCCACTGAAAGCATCTGGCTTAATTTAAAGGGAGCAAAAAATAAGAAAAACATAGTTATTGGCATGTATTACCAACCACCCAGTCAAAAACAGGACAAGGATGCAACCTTCGAAAAGCAACTTGCCAGCATTTTCAAGAGGAGTGATGCAGTCATCACGGGGGACTTCAGTTTTCCTGATATATGTGGGGAGAGAAATTCTGCCAAGCATGGCCCCTCCAAGAGATTCCTGGCATGTGTGCCAACAACTTCCTCCAGCAGAAAGCCGAGGAAGGTATGAGAGGATCAGCTGTCCTCGATCTGATACGAAGAAGGATGGCCTGGTGGACAAAATAGCAGCCATGGGGCCTCTGGGGGAAAGTGACCATGCGATCCTTGAATTCTCAGTTATACGAGGGAGACAAAGGGCAACTGGAGCCAAACACGCATCCTAAACGTCAAGAAAGCCAATTTTAACGAACTCAAAAATGTTACATGAAGTGCCATGGCAACACACCCTTATGGGGAAAGGTGGCCAAGAGGGGTGGGAACTCTTGGAAAAGAAGATTCTCCAAGCACCACTACGAACAAGTTCATCCAGAGAAAAGCGTGGGAGAGCAGAGGAAGCCCACGTGGCTCCGCAGAAAGCCAAGTGACGGCCTGGAAGAAGGGAAAAAACATGTGCGGGAAGTGGAAGCAAGGCCAGGCCAGGAAGGCAGAATGTAAACAGATTGCATGGAATCTCAGGAATAGCACTGGGAAGGCTAAAGCAGGAAATGAACTGAGACGAGCGAGGGATGCTGAGCACAAGAAAGCCTTCTTCAGACGCATCCAAAAGACATGAGAAAGAGAAGGGTGTCCAGCTACTTACTTTGGATGGCAGAGTGATAACAGACGACAAGGAAGAGACAGAGGCACTCAATTCCTACTTCGCTTCCATCTTCTCCCACAAGGAAATCTGTATGGAAGAGGAAGCACAAGCGGGAAGTGAGGGAGGCAGCCCAAGACTGACAGACAAATGGTCCAGGATTACCTAGATGGAATAAACACGTTCAAACCTCCAGGGCCCGGTGAACTCCATCCCAGAGTAATAAGAGAGCTGGCAGAGGGACTCGCAGAGCCACTGGCTATTATCTTTGATAAATCTTGAAAAACAGAAGTGCCAGACGACTGGAGAAGGGCTAATGTTGTCCCTATCTTCAAAAAGGGGAAAAAGATGAACCTGGGAACTACAGAACAAGTTAGTCTGACATCGATCCCTGGAAAAATTCTGGAGCAAATTATTAAAAAGTCCATCTGCAAGCATCTCGAAGAAAATGCAGTGTTTAATAGAAGCCAGCATGGATTTCTCAAAAATGAATCCTGTCAGACTAATTCAGTCTTGTTTTTTTACCGGGTAACCCCACAAATGGACAAAGGGAAGATTGTGAACATAATTTACCTCAACCTTAACAAAGCTTTCAACGTAGTGCCACACGACATTTTGATAAACAAATTAGCAAAAACTGAACTAGGTGGAAAAATTATTAGGTGGATCCAAAATTGGCTGCTAAATAAAATACGAAGATTGCTTATCAATGGCACCTTCTCAGATTGGATAGCGGTAACGAGTGGGGGGCTTCAGGGCTCAGGCCCAGGCCCGGTGCTCTTCAGCATCTTTATTAGTGATTTAGATGAGGAAGTACAAGGAAAGAGAATCAGATTTGCAGATGATACAAACACTGTAGAAGACAGAATGGAGATCCAGGGCAATCTTGATAAGTTTGAACACTGGGCTCAAAGCAACAGTATGAGATTCAATAAGGACGAGTGCCAAGTTCTCCTTCTAAGAAAAGGAAACCAAACACATCAAGGAAAACACGTCTCTCAGCAGAACTGAAAAAGGAAAAGATCTTGGAGTTATTGTGGACAACAAGCTAAATATGAGCCAACAATGCAGTGCAGCCACCAAAAAGGGCAAATGCTATTTTGGGATGCATGAACAGAAGTATTACTTCCAAATCAGGAGAAGTAGCGGTTCCCCTGCACTCCTCACTAGGCAGGCCTCACCTGGAGTCCTGTGTCCAGTTCTGTGCACCAAGATTTAAGGAAGATGCAGGCAAATTAGAAAGGGTCCAGAGGAGGGCAACAAAAATGATCCAGGGTTTAGAAACACTGCCGTGTGAGGAGAGACTGGGAGAACTGGGCCTGTTCAGC